CCATTCACTTTAAACAGAGGGGAGGGAAAGAAAAAAAAGAGCGAGGAGCATTTCAATAGTTACAAGAAGAAAAGCATACTAACCAAAGCAAAACAATGAAGATCAATTCCGCCCCTGACTTCTTCTGCTTCAGGATTCAGTTTAGCATAAAAAAGAGATTCTTTTGGGCAGTTTTTTTTCCAAAACAGAAAGAATTCCCCAGATGATCACACTTTCTCTTTCTGTTCCCTTCCGTTCCTTAGCCGTCCTCACTTCATCAGCCTAATCTGTCTTTTGTCACTAGCTTGAAGTCCTCTTGTATCAGTCAAAGACTTGCGTTGTCCCTGATATCAGCAAGACGTGGTCTTCCTGTTCACCATCTCTTCGGGATGATTTAGGTCCGATTGGACCCCCCAGTGGCAAAAGGATCGGCTGCAGTCTCAGAGCATCGAGACCGCACGTCCGTACCATGGGGACATTGGCTCCTCCTCAATGGCTAACCTTTTTGTCCTCGTGTGACGAAAGCACGTGTGCATGCGTGCCCACACCCCTAATGCAATGTGCCTGCGATACCTCCGCCCCCTTTGCATGCCCATATGACCCCCCTACCTGTGCAACCCTCCTGCGCATGCACATGCCCATGCAACCCCCCCGTGCCCTGTTTTGGGCCTAGCATGCCTCCCTGAAGCCTCCTGGGACCAACAATGCCCCACGGGGGGCACCTCCCCCCCCCGTGCATGCACACACATCTCCCGCATACATGGCAGAGACCCAAAAATCAGCTGGGCAATGGTAGGCGCGCGTGCATGCGTGGTACTGCTGAGCTGGGGCGACAGCTAACGTGCCCACAGAGGGTTCTGCGTGCCATAGGTTCGCCATCACGGGTATAGGGTCTCCTGCTTGTGCAGGGGGTTGGACTAGAAGAACTTGAAGGTCCCTTCCAGCTCTAGTCTGTTTGATTGCTTGAGAACACTGCTGCTTTTCTGCATGTGGCCGAAACCACAATCAACAATCTTAAGCTTTCTGTGTGGACAGGGAAGGTTTGATAAGGTGTAGTAGCTCTGAATCCTGCAATTTCCCCCCCACTGGCATCCTCTCAATTGGAGGCAGGGATGTGGCATGTGGCTGAGAACTTGGTCTTGACGCAGGTCCCGCAGCTCAGTTGTGGGAAGGGTTGGAATTTGAGGACAAGAGCAAAAGCAGGACAGCCATCTTGCTTTGTGGGATAAAGAAAAGGATTGGCCCACAAGAAACAGAAGAGCAATCCAGGAAACCTTGTATAGCAGGGATCCCCAATCTGTGGACCACTAGTGGGCTGTGACGGGTTTTCAACTGGGCTGCGGAAATGGCCGGCGAGCATATGCGTGTTCATGCACAACTCACTTGTGTGAGTAGCGGTCCACAAAGCCAGAAATATTGGGGAACTCATATAAGACAGGATGTGACCTGGGAGCCAGAAATCAAAATTTTGAGGTAGAAAGGTGAGTTCGTGGTGGGAATACAGGGGAAAGAGCTGTGGGGTTTTTTAGAAGCAGAGAGGAATAGCTTGCTTATGAGGTTCTCTTTTCCCCACTTACTGTTCTCTTCTCCCAACAGGCCTTAAGGAGCTCATCCTAACAGGCTGCTCTTGGTGCTCCGTGTTGGCCCTCGGCACAGCCAACTTCCCCTCCCTANCTAATGTGGCTCCTGAACAGGTTGCAAGGTATTTGGGGGTTGAATTGGGAGCGGGGGAAGGCTTAGGGGAGAGAGATGAAGTGGTAGCCAAGGCTTCCTTACTTGGAACATTTATATTTTATTTCCAAATCCAGTTGTTCAAGGGTTTGACAATTGTGCAAAACTCCCAAATGCCATCCAGAGATGAGGACCCACTCATTAAAAAAAAAAATGGCCAAAATCACTATAGGTAGTCCTTTACTTAGAACCATTCATTTAGTTACAACGGCACCAGAAAAAGTGACTTATGACAGTTTTTCTCACATCCATTGTAGCATCCACATGGTCACATGATCAAAATTCAGATGTTGAGCAATTGTCTCATAATTATGACGGTTGCAGTGTCCAGGGGGGTCTGTGATCCCCTTTTAAGATCTTCTGACAACCAAAGTCAGTTGGGAAGCTAGATTCACTTAACAAACATGTTACCAATGTAACAACTGCAGTGATTCGCTTAACAACTGTGGCAAGAAATGCCGTAACATCTCGCTTAGTAACAGAAATTTTGGGCTCTATTGCGGTTGTAAGTCGAGGACTAGCTAGAGTGAAGCCAAATCTCACCAGATTTGAATTCCATTTGGAGCAAGGAAGTGTTTGAATCAAGAAATGTAAATTCTAAAGGTTATTCCAGAGTATTCAACTCTGCATATTTATTTAAGGAGAAGTGAATCCAGTGGCTTTGTTTAAATATGAACAACGTCTTCAAGGCTCCCTCTTTTTAAGTTGGCTTAACCCCTTGGGATTGGGGGCCATTGTGGAGTGAGATTTTTCATGGTCTGAAGACCCTGCATTTTGTGTTAATCTGGATGTACGAAAAGGTAATTGAACATTCTAGGCAAAGGACAAGGGACAGATAGCCAGAATATTTGGGCACAGGAAATTCTTAATTTGAAACATTCAAGAAGCAACCTGTGCCAGGCTACTTTGCCACTGCAGTGATGAGTCTGGATACCCTAATTCAAATGACAGGTGGTATTGGTGTTGGTGGTGGGATGGAAACTAATCAAGGAGAGAAGCAACCTGGAATCAAGGAGAAACTTCCTAACAGTGATGAGGACAATCAACCAGTGGAACAGCTTGCCTTCAGAAGTTGTGGGTGCCCTATCACTGGAGGTTTTTAAGAAAGAATGGAATGGAATAGAATAAAACTTTATTGTCACTTTAAATGTAAATTAATCAACATACATTAAAATGAAATTTCGTTTCATTATATGACACACAGAAATATCACAGTCTCGTTCGAGTGTATACATATACACGGCGGAAAAAAAGAATCCTGCAAATTTACAAGACGGATGACATAAGGACTGGAGAGACTGGATAGTCACTTGTCTGAAATAGTATAGGGCAGTGATGGCTAACCTATTTATTTATTTATTTATTTACAATTTTTTTTTTTTATTAAANTGTACCTGCCTCTGAATAACTTTGTGCTCCCTCAGATTATAATATGGTTATTAATGAATCAAAGCTTTAATTGAGTGACACATAACTTTTATGCAAATGGCTCTGTTTGAATAGCATGTCAAAGACCACATACCCCAGTAACAGATGGGGCCAGGGCAAAAGTTATTTTTTTTTTCATGGGTAATGTATTTATTTTGTATATTTTATTAGATTGATATGACCATTTCAAATGCATGGGAGGCTAACCATATTAAAAGTAGGTAAAAAGTGTATACAAATATATATAGTGTATATACCCTGTTTCCCTGAAAATAAGACCTCCCCGGATAATAAGCCCAATCGGGCTTTTGAGCACATGGACTAAAATAAGCCCTCCCCCTAAAATAAGCCCTCAGCAAAAATATTGCAACACAGCAGCAGCCCTGAGGTGACCACGCTCGCCGCCTCCTGCACCTCAAAAATAATAAGACCTCCCCGAAAATAAGGCCAAGTGCTTATTTCGGGGGTTAAAAAATAATAATACCCTGTCTTCTTTTCAAGGAAACATGATATACATACATACAGACAGACATACAGACAGTCAGTCAGTCAGTCAGTCAGTCAGTCAGTTAGTTGCTGGCAAAAATCACACAAAAATGTAGTTAGCACAGCCAAGAAACAGACTCTGCCATATATCCTTGAGAAACAAAATTCAGCCTTGATAAGTGGAATAAATCTACCGAAAACTATCACAATGAAATTTAACCCAAATAAGTTACATTTTATTCAGAAAGAGCAAATGTAAGGGGGGGGGGGCACGACACATCTGGAAAATGTGTGACATTTTCAGATTTCTGAAAAAGATTTTGGATGATGAAACAGCAATGAGATGTAAAAGTGCAGTTTTGGATTGCTATTAGTAGAGGTATAGTTTCCAAATCATGGGAAGCAATCGTTTTCTTTTATCCTGCTTTGGCCTATTTTGAATACCGTGTTTAGTTTGGGGAACCACACTGTAACAACAAAGAACAGCAAAAAATTTTAGAGGATTTGAAAATAAGCCATACAGAGAGAGGCTGATAAATCTAGGTATGATTACCCTTCAGAAAAGGTGGGGATATTGTAGCATTCTTCAAGTACTTGAAAAGATGTCACTTAGAGTCCAAACTTTCCAGAGTCCAGGGCCAAAGTATTGGATTTAAGTTATAAGGTGGCAGATTTCAATTAATTGCTAGGACAAAAGTTCCTAACTATAAAAGCAGTTCAAGCAATGTAACCTGCAGAAGTGATGGGATACCTTCAATGCATGCATTCAAATGGAGACTGGACAACCATCTCTCTGGGATGCTTTCATTTGGATTCCGCCACTGAGGAATCAGAAATACAGGTAGTCCTTGACTTACAACAGTTGTTTAGTGACCATTCAAAGTTACAACGGTACTGAGAAAAGGGACTTACGACTGTTTTTCAGTTACGACCTTTGCAGCATCCCCATGAACATGTGATCAATATTCAGATGCTTGGCAGCTAGTTCATACTTATGACAGTGGCTGTGTCCCAAAGGTCATGTGATCAACTTTTGCAACCTTCTGACGGGCAACATCAATGGGGAAGCCAGATTCACTTAACGGCCGGGTTACTAACTTACCAGCTACCTTGATTCACTTAACCACTGTGGCAATAAAGTTTGTAAAATGGGGGAAAAGTCATTTAACAAATGTCTCTCTTAACAATAGACATTTTGGGCTCTATTGCAGTCGTAAATTGAGGACTACCTGTAATTCTTTCCAACTTTATGATTCTGGAGCTCAGTGAATCATTGTCTCCTTTCGGCTGGCCTTCACTCCTCCCAGGTGCTGTGACAAGAGGCTTTGGACGTACATTGATTTGAGCCATCGGAAATCTATCACTCCCTCCATGCTGAGTGGAATCATCCGACGACAGCCAGCCAGTCTTGATCTGAGCTGGACCAACATCTCCAAGAAGCAGCTAATGTGGCTCCTGAACAGGTTGCAAGGTATTTGGAGGTTGAATTGGAGAGGTGGGGGGGGGAGGCTTAAGGGAGACAGAGATGAAACGGTAGCCAATGCTTCCTTCTTTGGAGCACTTATATTTTATTTCCAAATCCAGAAATCCTGTTGTTCAAAGGTTTGACATGTTGTGGCCCACCAACAGAGCTTGCAGCAGATTCGGACAGTGAGGAGGTTGGGGA